ATATCATATTGATCTTTAACCATTTTGACAAATCAATTTGAGAAGGGGGGCGCCAGAATTGAACTTTGCCTCGGCATAAAATACCTATTGGACCGGCCCTGGTTATGACTCAACCTATAGCCCCAAATTTTCTTTTTATAACTTATTTTTTGCAACTGTACAACCAACTGGTGAAGGTTTTGCAGTTGCAGAAGATCAAATGTTTTTAGTTCCAATTTGTGTGGCAACAGTATGGGAATGCATGAGATAATATACCAAACTTAAAGGTAGACTCGGATGCTGATCCCCATTCGTAAATTAGTGCTAATGTTTTTTGTAGGTTTGGTATGTTAAAATGAGTTATTTATATCATTATTTTAACTATAATTTTAATTTCAGGTAATAAAACGCTGAATATTACACTTATTGTAGATTTGTACATTAATTAGTTGTTTAATGTCAATACTACCTATTTTCCACAGTTTATAATATTTGTTTGATGTAGAAATGTATTTTATAACTGTGAAAAAATAGAAACAAATATTTTATAGTGTGTATTTTCTATGTTCTTTAATTTTCATCTCCTGACTTTTTTTGAAAAAATGAGTACTTTTGAGATATTGTCACTTTTTCTGAAAAAAAAAACCATAATGGCGGCCTTGAATATGTTAATAAGGACTTAAAACACTAACTATTGAGATGGGTGCCAGCTTTATAATAATTTGTTGCATAGTTGGCCATGATTAGAGCACGAAAATAAAATTATTCACTCGTTATTGGCGATTTTTGAATACCTGCCTAACAACAAAAAAAGTTATCTTATAAAAATCTTTTCTTGGTGAGCGCTTACATTACAAACTCAAACTATCTCATCTGAAAGTTCCATTTCAAATATCTAGTGACGACACATACATTTGTATTTATCGCTTCATTCATATCCACCATGGCTTTTTTGTTTCGATACAAAAAACCTCAACGAATAGTGAACGATTGAAAATTTGTTGATCGGTCCTAAATTCACAGATAAAAATTAGTTTTTTTGGGAAAAAACAATTTGAGTGGAAAATTTTATATTGGTTTGGGTAAGAGTGAATAATTTCTAAAGCCTCCCAGCACGCACCTTTCCTAAAATATTCCCTCAACAATCGCATAGAATTCACCCTTTTGCATTGGTAAAGTTAAGTGATTTTTGTTATTCAAGGTGGGTTAGCCCGCTTGTCTTAAATATTTAAAGGAGCGCTTAAAGTTATATCTTACTGCCCCTGAGCGGAGTTTAACGCTCTTAAACAGCCCTTTATGGCAGCATTAATATTAAAAAGGTTGTGAGATCGTATCGTCTTCGATTTCAACCCTTTGAGATCTTAACAATCTAGGGTTGTGTATACATTTATAATTGTACAAAATTTTAAATTGTGGGAATTTACGTTAAGGAACTTTTTTAAAATATTCTCAAAATAAGTCGTATTGACTGAAAAATTGTCTTTTTAACATATTTTTTAAAATGTTTATCAAGCAATTTTTTTTTATGAATCTCACCAGATTTCATAATCAAGCCTTTTAGGTGAGACTATCACTCCAATTAGTGCTTCTTGCCTAACGACTCACTACTCTGGAAACAATAATGCATAATGTCGTAATCACCTTTATATATACGAGGGAAACCTGTTTTCACCATTCATTCTTTGTACAGGTTTTTTTAATGTTAATATCAGTGTGTGTTAAACTTTTGTCAAGTTGTCACAATATTTTTAATTTTTAGTCGCTTCTGCTTAATATATTTCTCAATCGATATCCTGCACATCCGTTTTCTTGGCAATTCAGACACTGCGGAAAATAGTTCAATAGTAGAAGATCCCAATCCCCACTACATTGGCCCCACCTTGGGCGTTGGGTTGAATTTAATCCTGGGAAAAGATAATGTTATTACTTATATGTTATCACGTCCTGCAATTCCTGCAACAGATGCTGATCTTGTTATTGTCGATTTACCTAAACAACAAGCAAATCAGAACTCTGATAATGGGTCTAATGTTGATTTTAAAAGATGTCCTGAGAGAGGCTTCATCATGAACTGCGTACTATACCGCTATGTCCTTGAATTAGATGAAGCTCAAAAAGTAGTACCGAAATCCCAAGTTCCTCAAATCCTTGTCGAGTACCACGATTCTCCATTAGCTGGCCATTATGGTGTAGAACGTACTTATCAAAGAATTGCAAGTCGTTTCTTTTGGCCTGGAATGAGAAGAACGTTATCTGATTATGTTAGTAAATGTGTAGACTGCCAACGTTATAAAGCTACAAATCTTAAACCTGCAGGACAAATACAGACTTCTATTCAAAGACAGCGATTTGAAACTACCTGTATTGATTTATTTGGTCCATTTTCTGAAACGCACGATTATTACAAATGGATTTTCGTAGTAAAAGATACTATAACAAAATGGATAGAACTTTTTTCATTGACGGCAGCGTCCGCTGAAAATTGTGCTCCAAAAGAGATGGCCTATATTAAATTATTAAAATGGTATCCCCAACTACCTATGAGATTGCATCACTAGATGATTCATAAAAAGTACTCGGAAAATATTATGTGTCAGCATTGACCAAATTTAAATCCGGAGAATAAAGTTGATCCGACACCTATTAGACCATTGAGAAAACGTAGTAAAGTTATAATTGAAGATGATGAATTTGAAGGTCATTTAAGTGATAGTGTTTGAGGACCATTCTCCCTGCTGTATTTTCATTTATTTATTATTATTATTATTACTTTTTTTTTGTTACTCCATTCACGGGACGTTTCATGGAGTAAAGGGGGAGTAATGTAACAAAACTACCTTTATTACCTGTTTTTACCTGTCATTCTTTGTACAGGTTTATTATTTTTAGTGCCAGTGTGTGTTAAACCTTTTTTAAGTTGTCACATTATTTCTAATTTTGTAGTCGCTTTTGCTCAATATATTTCTTAATCGTTATCCTGCACATCCGTTTTCTTGGCAATTCAGACACTGGAAGGTAGTTCAATAGAAGAAACACCATATAGAACGCAGAAGATCCCAATCCCCACTACAATCTAAGGACAAAAAAAACCATGTAACTGATAAAGAGAAAGCAGAAGAAGGTCGACAGCAAATAAGACAAGTGATAACAGTTAAAATCATGAGAGATGAATTTCGCTGCTTCTTCATCAAGACTAAGGGCCGGTATTATAAAACACTGAACCGATGGTTGAGTTTCAACCTGCGGTTGAATCCTATCAATTTGCATGGAGTCAACCGGAGGTTGAAACTCAACCATCGGTTCAGTGTTTTATAATACCGGCCATAACTCAGTTTAAATAAAGTAAAACTGATTGAAGAGCAAAAAATTCGAAGAAACACGTATTATACAATAAAGTAGAAATGAAAAAACATGATCTACTGTTGAAACATGAGCAAGAAAAGATATATTTGCAATTGGCAATCAATTTAACAGTTATAGCTACCCAGAAGTAGTCAATTCAATCATAGAGCATTCGTTACAAGAACGAATCAGGAAAATATTACTTACGTAATATAAAACTGATGAATGTTGTACTAATGAAATGTTAACCAAAAAGGTGGTGTTTGTAATTTGAAACTGGATACGTAATTCACAAAAAAAAAAGTTTCTAGCATCAATGAGGGGTTGGAATCCTGATCTGTTAAAAAATTTTAAAGAAGAATAAAATATAAACTTTTAAGATTTCCAGATGCTCATTTTGTTGGAAAGAGAAAATGCCATAATACAACTCATATTTTCACAAATACTTCTGGAAAGTCCTACGCTGCAGTAAGAGCCGAACAAACAAACTATGCAGGAGTGAGTTTTTGTTAGTTCTCAAGCTAGAGTCAATGCTCCAAAGCCTCTCATTATCCCAAAGCCAGAACTTTTGGGTGCATTAATGGGAGAAAGGCCTAGAAGTCATTTGAAATATAAATTTAGGTCAGGCCACGTTTCAGAAGTACTGCGAGATCGAAGATACTGATTCAAGATCAAAGAAATCGATAAAATGTTAGACGATGCTATAATTGCCGTCAAGAAGGATACCTCAGTAGACACTGTGGGCGACTCGCTTTCGCCATACACTACGAAGACTTTCTTTGGCAAATACACCGTACTCCAAGAAATGCTGAAATCTTATTAGAAGAATCTAATAGTCCATGGCCAACGCCTGTCATGCCAGTTATCAAAACGGCTGATTGAGCGAGTTTATGCTTGGATAGAAAGCTAGATGACGTAAAGTCGAAAAACAGCGACTCATTAACCCGATTGTGTGGTGGTTTTCCATTCACGGCCCGGATTCCGAACCCACGATTCGATAGTATCGTCTATCGTCAGGTACGTACTTTTGCACGAGTTTATTTGGCTTGAAGATAGACGATATCATCGAAAGGTGGGTTCGGAATCCGGGCCCAAACTTCAGAAGGAGACATCGACCGGTGGAATCTAACGTCATGCCGTATGGTTTGAATGAAAAGTCGGACCCAGGAGATGGGTAGGTATATGGCGGTACGGGATTAGCCCAGACCAAAAAAGAAACATGGAATCAAAATCTCCCTAGGACTCTTCAGTTACTACCACCGGTTATTCAAGGATTCTGGGAACATTGCGAAGCCGTTGTACCGAATTACTGGGCTTCAAAAAGTGGAATAGCAGCAGCTGTTCTCTTCCAAATTAATTTTAATGGTGAAGAATATCGTGACACCGGAAAAAAACACATGCAAATCTCATGCAACTATTTTGAACTTATTCTAGGTATCTTTTTCCGTGTTGCCCAGTATAAATAGACTCTGTGAACAAAATCACCATAATATATTATTACGGAAATGCATCGACAACCCGGCCAGAATTTTAAGAAATCAGTTGTTTACGTCTGGGAGCACGTCTTTTCCGGGAATTCTATTATATTCGATAAACAGGTTTTTCTGGATAGATCCGGAATAGAATTTGACTATAAATAGCGCGTAGTTATAAGTTTCAGTTTAGTTAAAATTTGTGATTTGTTGTGAAGTTTCGAAAAGTGATAGGTGAATTTTTATAAAGCCAATAAGTTTCACTAAAAGTGGCTACTCTTTGTAAAGTGAGTTTTCAAAGGGAGAAATAATTCTTAAAAGTTTTTCTTTATTTGACAAATATTAACTACGAACACCCTGTTCATGTTTATAGAAATATAGAACCTTTTAATAGCCGCTGAATGATTATGTGTTTGTTTACGTTATTTTGTCTTGAACAATTTAATTATGACCGCTTATCAATTGTACCTACTGTGCATTAATAACAAAGATCATTTCATGGGATAATGGGATGTTTTCGTTTGAGTGAGATATCGCAACTATTTCAATTAGATCAGCAGTTTTTGGCTTTTCGGCGATGGGAACTGTATTTTCGTTGTGTCTTGGGCGTTAAATCCTTTCAGTATGTAAATATTTTTGGTGCTTTAAGCATACATTTTTGATGTGACCAAAAAGCCTTGTTTTGTAATCTATTTACTTATTGTTACATCTTTACTCGGTTTAGACGCACAGTGCAGTATGTCGGACCCAAATTTAGAAAAAAATTGTGAAATATGTGCCGTGCAGAATGAAGAATATCAAAATAATGACCCAAAAGAAAAATATTTGCCGCATCATCTTCATATAATGCAGTACTTTGCTAGTACTATAGCGAGGATTTATCGAAACCCAGCTCCCGAAAAAATTGAGAATGGCGAGTCCCTTACCGAGCTCACAGATTTGCCCAATACAAATGGTAGGAATTCTGGGAATTATGAGAGCGCTCGTGAATCATTAAATGAAGAATCTTATACTTCAAATGTACATGAAGAATCTAATACTTCAAATGGACATGAAGAATCTAATACTTCAAATGGAAATGAAGAATCTAATAATTCAAATGACATTGTCATGAATATCGAGGAGCGATACTCTCGAACCATCATAGAATCCCCACGCATATCCAAACGTTGTGTAACATTCTTGAATTACGCCTTTTTTACATATTCAGCCCTGCTGTTTTTGGTGGTAGCTGGTTTATTGCTTATGTGCATGATGTACTTTGTCTATAGGATCGGAGTGTCAACTGGATATTTGGACCCAATAAACTCCTAGCTTTGAAGAGTTTTGCTAAATCACGTATTCCTGACTGCCAAAGCTACCAGTTTGGAATTGGTCGATTCATGATTTTATTAACATGGTATTGTAGTAATAGGTTTTGGTTCAGTTTACCAGTGATAGCTTTCCTAGTTTAAAGTATATTTTACTCATAACATAACTGTTTTTCTAAACCTTGTGAATTGAAATTGATTCATTTAACAGTTTATTAGTTACAGTAACATATTTTAGTTTAGTTTTTATTGGGCTTAGAGCCGGTTTATTCACATTCTGATAAACTGTCAGGTAGGTATGCAATTTGACGGATAACAACGTAATCTGTCTGGACAGCCAGCTATCCGCCGTCCAATAGAATTAAAGAACGATTAATTTAACTTGCAGATATAGTTACCAGCAAGTTTATCTGAAGATGAATAAACCGGGCCTTAGTCATTCAAATAATGTTTAAATAAGATCAATTGATTAAGTGAAGGCTTTCTTTTTTAGGCGTATTAAAGGGTTGAAATAATATTTTTCGTCTTGTTTAATTTCATTATTTTTCAGAAATTTAATGAAAAAAATGAACCAAATATTGCGTAGGCTGATAATTTGGGTGATTTAACGGGTTAAATAATACATAGGCACATGAAAAGATAAACCAAAACTCTGCAAAATTTTAAACAAATAGATTCATGGTTTTTCTTGAAAATAAGCAAAAACGGCATTTCCTGAAACGCATTTCAGAGTATAAACTTATGGGAGCGTTTTCTCCATTTTAGCAAATACTAATTACCATCTTGAGTTTTGAGAAGTATTTTTTCACGCCCTGGAATGTAGGCAGTATTAGGTAGGTAGGTACATTTTCACTGCGCCGGAACATTTTTTGATTAGACAATATTGTAAATCGTTTCGATTTAATTCGAATATTTTAACTCAGATTTCTCTTTGAGTTTGAGAAAAAAATTAATTTTGAAGTTTTCTTCCAATAAATGACCAGTTTGGGGTGTCCCATTTTGGTTGTACATAAGGGATAACTTGGTTGCTATTCGAACTAGAAGGATGCGGTTTTCGGGAACGTTGGCTACTTTTTTGTCAAACGAAAGGTGCCGTCAACAGAATTGTCATCGCCCTTTTTGTTTTTCAGAAACAAGGTGTTTTTAAAAATGTTGCATTCTACTTCTACTACATTTCCATTGTATCTCGGCGCTTTTCTAGAAGTGATAGTTTTGGCATAACAAACCGCCAAACGAACATTTTTTCAAATGAGACCCCCTGTATATTAATAATTCATTGGATCACTCTGCTTTTGCCGATTTCAATGATATAAATTTCTATAGGTTTATCTCTAACAGTTTGTTTCGTTTTAAATGGTATAACCTGTATTTAATTCTTAATTAAATCTGGATGAAAAATGGCTTATCTTTGCATCGATTTCTCCCACAATGCTCTTAGCTTTTAGTTCTTATTTTCAGAGAAATGCATTAAATGCAAATAAGTATTAGCCGCCAAACAAATTAAAAATATGGAAATCTGATGGCTTATTTTTGATATTTCCCATATTGCTCGTAGCTTTTAGTTGATGTTGATGTATTTTTACCGCATTTTTCACAAACAAAAAGTACAAATTAGCAAGTTGTTATGGGCTTTTAAAAACTTTTACCACATCAAAATGGTTATTATTTTTTTATGTTTTTGATAGAATCGAGAGACGATTATTTTGTGGAAAAATATTTTTTTTTCAGTTGTTCCCTATTATTATATTAGGCAATGGCATTGCAGTTGATTTTAAGTAGGGGTAAAAAAAACTCGACATTCGCGGACTTTTTCAGTTTTTTGCTTATAACTTCTAAACCATGCCTTTTCAGCGGAATACACCAATCTATAAACTTGAAAAGCATTAACTTTCCCTCAAATTTCACTGGTGAAAAGCATTCTTTAACGCAAAAGCAACCGAGATGCAGTGGTTCAAAGATACAGAAAAATTCTTAGAAGTGTGTAGCTAGGTTGTCCAAACATTTTGATCGGTTTCATATTGAGATTCTACTTCTGCAGAACTTGTCAAAAATTTCTTCCGGCCCGACCAAAACTCAAACCAAGCATGGGATAAACATATTTTATCCTCGTCTCTTCCACCTGCACTTACAGACGATTTAGTCTACTGTACCACTGAATTACTTTTCTATGGTACCATATTATAATAATTATTTCTGGGAGATAAACCTTTTTCGATGTCATTCGTGCCGAACTGGCCTATGTATCTGGCCGGGATTTACCAATAAACGTCAAATCCCTACTGTTTGTGTTTATATAGTTTCGTCGTATATTATTTTTGTGGTACTGCTGAAGTGCTGAGTTAATACGGCATCTTCAATAGTGTTAGAAACTCGGTTAGAACGGTGTTTCATATGCAAAGAAAATTCGGCAGAACGTGAAAGGCTTTAGTTGAAAAGAGAGGAGTTGATACGCTTCTTGCTACCAGTGTCAAACGTAAAAAGCCTGAACATCAACGGTGACTCTAAGGAGTGGAAAAAATATTAGTTTGAACGGCCTGTTAAAAAAATTACAACGAGAAATTGATTTTGGCCTCTTTTCATCGTGAACGTGACACCCCTGCAACTGCTTTCAAACCAACGCGCTCAGGAATGCTATCATTATGATTTGATTTAAACAAGTGCTGCTTATGCGAGGAAGAGTTTACTGAGGAGTACAGGCAAAAACATATCGAGTTACCACACGAAAGGCGCAATCCTATGGCCAAAGTGACGCTTCCAGAGGTAGCAAGCACGGAGACAAAAAGTTGAAGTCCGTATGAGCATATTGAATAATATAATTGCGGTTACCGCGGAAGTTTAAGTTTTGTTGCGGTTAGTTTACTTGCGTTTAACATGGCAAATAGTTCAGGGAATCAGTAGACTTATCGTCTGTGGGTGCACGTGAAAGGCGAATATCAAAGCTTGGTTTGAATTGCGGTCGGGCTGGAAGAAATTTTTGACAAATTGAGATTTTTTCTGTATATTTGAACCACTGTAGGTCGGTCACTGTTGCGTTGAAGACAACTTTTGACCAGTGAAATTTGAAGGAAATTTAATGTTTTTGAACTTTATAAATAGGCGTTCTCGACTAAAAACGCATGGTTTAGAAGTTATAAGCAATAAACTGAAAAAGTCAGAAAATGTTGAGGTTTTTTGACTCTCCTCAAGCTGGCACAGGATTCTCGAGTTCGAAAACTCAGATTCCACTCCACAGTCTAGCCACAAATGATATACCAGAATATCATTGAGTTCGGAATACTCTCCAGGTACTAATTACATGCCTCTGCTGGATGAGCAGTAATATTGCGTCTCTAACAGATGTCCTGGTTGAATATTCTTAAAAACTGTATGTGAGGTGTGCAGCTAGGTTGTGCAAACATCTTGATCGGTTTCATATTGAGATTCCACTTCTGCATCCATTTCTCTAGAGCGTTGATGTAGTTCTGGATTCGAAGAGTGATCAGTGAGTGTGGATGTTGAATTTAGGGGATAGTAGAGATCCTTAAGGAGCTCTGACGGTTATCTCATTCCCTTATTGTTCTCTGTCCTCTGTTGCAATTCTGGTTGGATATAAACGAGTTGATTAGGCGAGTGTAGTAGTCTGCCGTTTCTATGTGTAGAAAGTTTGAAGATGAGCTCTGGGTGCCACACCTTGTCGGAGCATTTGAAGCCGTCGAAGAAGACCCCTCCATTCACATTTTTTTGTTGTCCAACCCATCTCTGATGGACCTGGCGAGATGGGCTGTTTGTTGGATTGTGAAGTGGCTGGCCCTGAATCCAAACTGCTGTGCTGGGAGCACGTTCCGTTTCTCCAGCTGATGGTTGATCTTTCTGGGGACAACCGTTTCTGCTATTTTGCTGATTCTCGATAGCAGACGGATTGGTCGGTGGTTGGCCGGCAGATTGTTGTTTGTGTTCCTCTTGTTGCTGATAATATTGTTAGCGCTCTCCCATTTTAACGGAATGTGCTGGGTTTTCAGCATGCCGTTCAAAATGTTTCTTAGTTCCACGACCTGTTTGACACTGGCTGGTTGATCAGTTCTTGGACATCTTCCTGGTCAACCAGTGGGATGTAGTGGCCTGAAGGGGCTCTGTTAGTAAATAATGAACGTGGTTTTGGTGATGCAGTCGAAAAAGATTTCCATGTGAACCTCGAATAGGATTTGGTTGGGTTTTATATACACTTAGAAGATGTTGATGTTCTCCTGGGGATGCATAGTGATTTCGACGGCGCGGCGGTCGATTCTATTTTCAAAGATTGGTGCTTGATGTCCTGCTTCACGAGAACAAGTGTGCCTCCACTTGGCGCGTAGGTGCGGTCTGTCCTGTAGGTGTAGAAGTTGGGAATATTGAAATTGTGCTGGGGTTGCTGGAAGGAATTCTGTCGCAGTACAATATCGTTATCCTCGTGGGAGAGCTGGAGTTTCGCTGCTTGGGCTTGTTCCGGTTGGTGTTCTAGGCCACGACATGTGGGAACTGTGGGATGGTTTTACTGGCTAATACGGGGTATTTGGTTGTTTACTTCTAGATCTAGGTGTTGGACAAGCGGCGCCAGATAGCTCACTCGTTAACGGGTCCATTTGGTCGTGCCAGTATTTATTAATCTTCTAAAAAATACACGGTTTCACTGAAACTATTAAGAATTTTGAATGCAAATTGATTATATATCCGAAATAAATGCATCTACAGATAGTTCTGTTAGTGAACGGCTTCCTTATGTAAACTTTTATAGCTGAAATATGCTTGTCGGCTTTAAATGGTCAGTTAGTCCAGAAAATACACTAGGAATGGTTTCTAATTGGAATGCAGATACCTTGCAACTTGCAAGTTTCATTACTATTTATTCGTGAGAATAGGTTTGCCTTCAATGTCATTTCATGGATACTCACAAATAAAATTTTCTCAAAGTCGTATAAGGAAGCTGCCTTTTTTAAGGCCTTAAAAATATCATCATTTTGTAGAGCCATCCAACGCGCTACCTTTCATCCGCAAAGAGATAATGACTTTTTTTTTTGGACATAATGATAATACTGAGAATATTGTAACTTTCCGCTTCAAGGAAAAAAAAAACTTCCAGTTAAACCATAAAAGACAACAGTGGTCAACTTCATCAAAAACAGGACGGTAACATTGCTTAAACCAATGAAAATTAGGACAAGGAAATCCTTTATTCAACCGAAGTAAAATACCTAGATGTTATATTTGACCAAAGGCTGAAGTGAAACAACCCCCCCAGACATCAAAAACCATACAGAAGGCCACAGTGATCATAGGCAGGTGCAGAAGAGTGGGCGGAAAAAGCTGAGGACGCAAAATGTATTTGAAGCGAGGTCCGATCAGGTACATCCAGACTGTTACCGGAACATGGAACAGTAATAAGAGAACATGGAGTTACAAAATAATGTTCCAACTAGCATTTTATCGTAGCACGGAAGTCGCAAGACCTAATGCCACCAGACCTGACGTCGGCCTACTACGTACAGGGTGTCTCATTCAAGA